TGAGTATTTTTCTTGTTCATAATTTGGGTAAGCAGGTTTTTGTGTTCGGAAGATCAGCATCTCAGAGCAGTAATAATAGCTATATCAGTCACATGAGTACAGTTAAGCATTAGTGAGCTGTTTCTATAGGTTGCTTTTCTTTTCTGAAATATATAATACAGCTACTTAATTACTAGGGAGAATATTAGCTATTGAGATTTCTTATTGGGTTGGAAGTTGGTGTTGGGGGAGGGTAGTGAAGTGGGGAAAGGTAGCATTAAACAGTGGAAGATCAATTATCTTTAAAATCTAAAATAAGGAACTTGAGAGAGTATTGACATATCAGGGAAAATATTTAGTTTTGTAAGTTCATAATAGTTAAAGTGATTTATTTAATAAATGTGCAATGTTTGGTCTTCTCCTTGAGTAGGTACTAGAAATGAAAAAAATAGCTTAAACACTAATTTCTTATTACAGTAAATTTTAAAAGTTAACATTATAAAAGTAGTACAATCATGTTATGGAAATAATCTGAAAAGAAAGGAAAAACTTCCTACTACATTTGCTAGGAATAAGTTTAATAATTAAAGCATTATTGATTTTCTGATGAATTATATGCTTTAAAGACTTATTGCACTCATCGGTTATTGTGCCAAAGAATTAGAAGTAAATCTATGAAAGCATTTTATTTAGATGTAAGGTTAAGGTATAAGGTTGCTCAGTTTATTCTTGCCATATTCATTTAAAAAAAAATCTAAGCCTTTGACTATCCATTATTACCTGTTTGTCATAAATAATAATGGAAGAAAAAAATTTTAAATACCAAAGGTTAAAGGCAAGTATCTTAAAAGGAGCAAGAGAAAGGCAGTTACATGCAAGGGAGCCCCCATGAGAGTGTCAGTAGATTTCTCAACAGAAACTTTGCAGGCCAGAAGGGATTGACAGGAAATATTCAAAGTAATGAAAAGCAAGGACCTACAACCAAGATTATTCTACTCAGCAAAGCTATCTTTTAGAATCAAACAGATGTAGAGCTTCCCAGACAAGAAAAAGCTAAAGGAGTTCATCAGCACTAAACCAGTATTAGAAGAAATGTTAAAGGGACTTCTTTAAGAAGAAGATAAAAATGTGAATGATAAAATGACGATAACTACATATCTATCAACAATTACTTTAAATGGAAATGGATTAACTGCTCCAATCAAAAGGCATAGGGTGGCTGAATGGATAAGAAAATAAGATCCTTACATATGCTGCCTACAGTAGACTCACTTAAGATCGAAAGAGACACCAGCTGAAAGTTAAGAGATGGAAAAAGGTATTTCATGAAAATGAAAACAAACAAAAAGTTGGGGTAGCAATACTTATACCAGACAAAATAGACTTTAAAACAAAGGCTATAACAAGAGGCAAAGAAGGACCCAGTAATACCACTTCTAGGTATTTATCTGAAGAAACTCAAAACATTACTTTGGAGGGATATGTGCATCCATATGTCCATTGCAGCATTATTTACAGTGGCCAAGTTATGGAGGCAACCTGGATGTCCATCAGGGGATGAATGGATAAAGAAGAGGTGGTACATATATACAATGGAATATTACTCAGTCATGAAAAAAGAATGAAATTTTACCATCTGTGACAACATGAGTAGGCCTAGAGGGTATTGTGTTGAGTGGAGCAAGTCAGATAGACAAGACAGACATTTCTCCTGTTAATTTTTGGCTCCTTTATCAGTTAATATTCTTGTGTCTTAGATTATCAGTGTCTCCTACAGGAAATTAGTCTTTTTCCTCAACTTCTGATCAATTAAGCCCCTTCCTTCAAAATATTGTCCCAGTTCTCTCCCTTCTTCCTTTTGCCAGATTTTTTTTTTTTTGTCAGAAAAGTAATGGCTTAACTTTTTTTAGTAAAAATATCTTAATTTCTTACCTGTTTTGGTAAGCTTTGCAGGACAGCCCACTAACTAGTCACATGACTCCTAGATGTTAAATACAGATGTCTCTTCCAGCTTCTGCAGAAGGTGATATTACTTTCTTTTCCCTTTAAAAAATTTCCTTCTTTTGCTTTTTAGTTACTGCTTTTTAATTTTTTTTCACTGTCCCGATTATTTCTATTCTTGTTCGCATGATACCCTTTGCTTTTTCTTGAAGCTCAGAATGCTTTTTCTACCATATAAATCTGTACTGCCAAAATGGGAGCCACTAGCTAAATGCACTTGAAATATGGCTGGTTCATACTAAGATGTTCTGTAAGTATAAAATACACACTGGATTTTCAAGTTTTAAGATAAAAAAAATTCACTAAAATTTTTAATATTGATTGCATGTTAATTTGAATATACTGGGTGAAGTAAATATTACTAAAATTAATTTCACCTATTTCTCTTTACTTTCCAAAAATGATTACTATATTTGTGACTCAATTGTATTTCTGTTAAACATTGTTGTTCTGAGTTTCATCTTAAAGATAACTAGGTTAGTTTTCATCTATTAATATACATTTATTTTCTGAATTACAGTACCAGCCTTCTGGAACATTTATTTATGCCCCATTCTCCCAATTAGATACCATGCTTCTTCAGAGTCAGGGTAATTCCCCATAGTTCCTTTCACATATTGAGATACAGGTATAGAGCTGGAAATAGAGATATGAAAAAATATATGTGCACAAATATGAATAAATGACAAGGCTAATATTACCACTATATCAAAGAGGATGCTTACCACAGATGATACCTATTGAGATGTTTTTGCTTAATATCATGGGCAGTAGGAGAGGTTGATATGAAAGAGAGGAGAGACATACTGCGATATTAAAATCTGACATGTATTTTTCCCCAAGCTATCTTGCCACCCAGGCCACTCTGGTAGGTAGTTGTGAACTGTGCTCTTGTGATTTTACCGCCATCTGGTGTCAGGATTACCAAACTGTAGTTCAGCATTTCGTCTTTCCCCGCAGAGAAAGTAGGTAACCTTTCCTCTCAATGTGGGCCTGCTCTTCATCCCCAAAGTAAGTTAACATAAGAACTCAATTTCAGTGTAAGAAACCTTTATTCTCTTTCTTGGAGCACTCTTTTCTTGGCTTCCCTGATAACTTACTCACCAGTTTCTCTCATGTTTCTGTGGCCATTCTTTCATTCTTCTTAGCCCTTTTCTCTCTCCTTGTGGTAGTGTTCTAGGTTCTGGGCCCTCTATTCTTTTTATCCTTTGTTTTCATCCATATTTAAGGATTTAAACACTGCCTACTTTGAGACAAATTTGTGGTTATAATAAAAAATCTCTCTTGATCTTGTCATTAGTATCTAGGTGCCTAGCAAGATGCTACATGGGCACTTCAAATTTAACATTCCGAGTCTAAAATGTGGATCCCCACCCTATACCTATTTTTCAAATGTATTTTTCTCACTTCAGTAATCCATCATGCCAGAATTCAGGGAATCAGCTTGATGTTCCCTGTCACTCACACTTACTAGTCTCATCAAATACTTAACCATGTCCCATTGAGTCTACCAAGGTGTGTTCTTGTGCATGTGAAATTTATGACCCCTCTCCTGCTCCTGCCTTACCTAAAGCTACCACTTTCTCTTGCTTGGACTGAGTAGGCTCCTAATTAGTCTCCCTGCGTACACTCTTCATTGCATTCACGTTTTATTTTATTTTATTTTTAAATATCAGCCTTTCCTAAAAGGCTGAGAGTTCCATGGTGGGAGAGACTGCATACATTTGGTTCACGATTTTGTCCCTAGCACGTAGTACAGTTCCTAAAACATGTTATACTTATATAGCCACTCTGGCTCTCAGTGATGTTGATATGATTCCTGTAGTTTTAGTAATTGAACTTGAATATATTAGAGTTTCTTTAGTGCTTTATTTTAGTATTAGTATTTTTCTGATTTCATTCATCATAAATGAGTTTTAGCTGTTTCCTGCTTTTTCCCAGAGAAACTTAAGTGTATCTGTAACAGTAGTATATTTTGGGTATTAATTAGCTTATGACAACAACCTACTTATTATATAATATATTGGGGACTGCCAGTCAATATGCGGAAATTATTTGTTGAGCAGTTGAAATTTTATGTCATTATTTTGTCTTAGCATGCTTCTGTCTGAAATTTAAGGTTTTTAAATTTTAATATGGAGTTACATTTACTTAATCTTCAATTTAAACCTGTTTGACCCCAAGTGTTCTTTTAAATCGAGGCTTGTCTTGATAGCTTCATTTAAAATTTTTGCTTTGCTTTGATATTTTAAAGATGATTTTACTTTATAAAGTTTTACTACCTGGGCTTTCTGCTTTGAGTTGGCATTGCTAAATAAACTTAATTTGTAAAAGTAGAGGTGACTTATAAAAGTTGGTATTTAGAGATGGGCAACAAAGTATATACTAACGATACAAATTCAGAGAGCAAGGATTTAATAGATGTATATCAGGATTTCTCAATCTTGACATTATTAACATTTTGAGTTAGATAGTTTTTTTGTTGTATGAGAATAGGAGCTGTCCTGGGCATTGTAGGATTTTAGTAGCGTCAGCGGTTGTGACTACAAAAATATCTGTAGATGTTGCCAAATTGTCATGGGGGGCAAAATCACACCATTTGAAAATCAGTATATACTGTATTTAGAAGGGGATAATAGGCCATGAAATATCTCACTTGGGAAGTTTTTGGTGTCCTCTAGGGGTCTGAGAGTATGATAGCTCTGTGGTATTTTGTTAATGGCAAACAAAAGTAAAGACTATATGACTATATGTCTTACACATTTAAAAATTTCTGTGCTTGCTTAGAATAAAGTAACCTCTGTAACCATCTGGTTCTATCCCAAACTGAAAAAATGGTACATTCTAAAGCATATGTCATTGATGAAGTTTTATTTTATGAACTGACTTCAGAAGTTAGGTGGTTTTAGAAAAAGGGAACGAAGATAATGCAGAGTAGCTTCTAATCAGAACTTTTGCCATTTGTGTTTTATACATAGAGTACAGGATATAATTAACTTTATTTCATTTTCTCTTCAAAGGGACATGAGAGATGGCATTAGAAGAAAAAGTTTCTACTCTTCTCATTATGTAAGAGACCGATCTCCTCATAAAAGAGAAACTCCTTTTTTCAGAGACTCGCCTATAGGCCGAAAGGATTCTCCACACAGCAGATCTGGCTCCAGTGTCAGTAGCAGAAGCTACTCTCCAGAAAGAAGCAAAACTTACTCTTTCCACCAGTCTCAACATAGAAGTATGTATTTTTAGGACTTTTCCTTTTTCTTTTACAACCTTCACTAATGAGAGTGTAGAGTCAGATTGTGTTTTAGGTATCGTAAGAGATATTTTTTAACTTTTTATTTTCAAGAACTTCAATCTTATAGAAAAGTTGCAAGAATATTATAATGAACACCACACACACATTTTTAGAACCATTTCAAGTTGCAGCCCATATGACACTTCATTTCTGACTCTTCAGCATGGAAGAGGTGTGTTTGTAACCATGTCAGAAAGTCAGACACTCCTGTATTTTCTGCTAATTACTATGCTAGTCCAGCCTCTTTTTATCTTCTGTCATTAGGTAATATCTCTATATATCTGATAGTATATTTTTCATGAAAAGTATCATTGATTTTCCCTATAAGGTATATAGCCTTATAGAATTTAGAGCTAAACCTATCTTTGGTTCATTCTTTTCCAACCTTCAGTTTATTTTCTTTAAATTTGAAGTGCTTAGATAAGCATGGTATTCTTTTCAATCAAAGCATGACATCTTGGCTGAGTTGCTCAGTATGTGTTGGAATAAATGAGTGAAATCTTCCTATATTTTTCTAAACCCTACAGTTGAGCTCACTCAAAAACATTTCCTCATGCGTTATAATCCAAGGCACTGTGTTAGGTAGAAAAATGTCCCTGTCACCAATATATATGGTGACTAGAATATATATGTATTTTCCCCAACTGATAACAGTTTTATCAATATGTAAAAATAACATATAAAATATAACTTTGGTACAAGAATCAATGTCATAAATGAGTTAGCATGACATGAGCAGGTCAAGGTAAGAGAGATTCTTACTCTGAGGATGGAAGAACATGTCACGGAAGAAATGACATTTGGGCTTCTCTTTTATTTCATATTCCTATAAGCGAAGGAATATCTTCTAGGTAGAAGGAATTATAAGCCAAGGTACAGAAACCAGAAAAGTCTAGGGTATTTCTTTTTTTTTTTTTTTAAATTTCTTTTCTATTAAATGTGTTTTTCAAGTAATAAGATTTTTAGTTTAACAGTCTTTGCCTCGTGCATGTTAGAGTGATGGAAGATCACTTTGGATCATCAGATTGTCTCCATTGTAGCTGTTGCTGGATTCTTGTATTTAAGAAACACATCAATCGTCTATTTTCAGAGCTAGATAGAGTGGGCTTCCAAAAAAATATTTTTGGATACATGTGTATGAGTAGTCATGGACTTATATATGCCTGATTTCTTAAAATGTTTTCAGAATAGTTCCAGGTGACTGAAAATTTTACTGTGGAGTTCAGTGTTAACAGTTGGTATTTTCTCCTTTTCTTCACTTCCTCTTGCCCACTCCCACTCCCCCTCCCCCATCAAGAAGATTAAAATACCTCTGAGTTCTAATGCATACTCACATGCACAGGCAAAATTAGACAGACCTTTTAAGAACATATGTTTTTAGATGTGTATGACTTAAATCCAGATCTATTTAATGAGTTGATTAAGAGGAGGAAAGTATCTTTGGAAACTACTGTGAAGCCTTTTAAACAAAACATGAGTAAAACAGAAGCTTGAAATTCTTACTTGACAGCTTGTAGTTAAGCTATTAAGTGATTTAAGATAGTTATTGGTGAATTAGCTTTTTTCCCCCCATTTCACCTCTAAAACAGATTTCTAGGGAAGCATCTTCTATCTTCTTTCAGCCTGGTAATTTAGTGGACAAAACTAAAGTCTTGAGATGAAATGTGGAGGAGCTACAAAGGTTCTCCTATCATAGGGTCTCCAGTGTACCTTTCCCATCCTTTGAGGTCTAATGCCTTTAATATCTGGAATGATGAAAGGATAACACAGAAAGCTGGGAGACTAAAATATGGAGTCAATTGAATGAAATAGAGCATTTGACTTTGTTAATACCTTTTATATTTATTTTCTTAGATCATTTAGCTTTGAAAGTAAAGTTCTTTAATTAAGAAAAAAAGTTTGTTCTGAAGAAACTCTTTAGAAATTACTTTGGTTGATTCCTTAACTATTTGGGCTGAACTATTAAAATGTTTGTCTATATTTTCATGTAGTTTTCAGAATAGTTGCATAAGTACATCTTGCAAAAAGTTAATGGAGAAGTCTTGTTTTAAACAGTAAATGATGGAAAAAGTAATTGTTATTTTACATATTTGTGTTACCAGTTTTTGCTTTAAACTTAAATGTCACAAATATTAGTAGCACCTTACTTTTCTTCAAAACAAGGACTGAGAAACAGGGTCCTTCATTTATCAGTCAAACTGAATTAACAATAGCGTGTTAATTTAGTTTTCTAATGTAAACTAAAATTTTGGCAACGATTTTAAATGTTTCTATAAATAACAAATAATTTTCTTATTCCTTATGCCCTCATTTTGCTAATTCTTTACTTTTAATTTTTTGCTTTTTGTTCATACTTTTTAGAGTAATTTTACTTATTTTAATAATCACTAGTAGTATAGCCATGGTAACCATTAAAAAGGTTTTAAAATTTTTTTAATTACAGTTACATTCAATATTATATTAGTTTCGGTGTACAGCATAGTGGTTAGACATTTATATAACTTACAGAGTGATCCCCTGATAAATTTGGTACCCACCTGGCACATGGTAACCATTTGAGGACTAATTCTTCATAATTCATTTAATGTATCTCTTATGTGTTTAATTATAAGCCTCAGAATGATTTTTACTCCTTTTTTCGTCTCAACTAGTTATTTCCCATTTTGTGATTACACGTGTGCATGCGAACCCACACATACACATGTGTATTTCATTAAATTTCTTCTATTTTGCCTTTTGGGTTAATCTTATGGAACTTTGTACTGCTTTAGACTAATTATCCTTCTAAATCAAACCATTATTTTTATCCTGGGCTTCATGTATAAGAATTTTCAGCCTATAACTTAATTGGACTAACCTAGTCATAGCTATGACTACAATATTATTTTTTGTTCCAGTTTTCTTGTCTATATTTACGTGCTACTAGGGTAGATTGTCCTAGTTAACCTCATTTTTTTTTTCTCTTTGTTTATTACGATACTGTTCTAGTTAAAATTGTTTTGTTACATATACCTCATATATTTTTACTTGAAGTTTAGTTTCTAGCTAATATAACCAAATATCTCCCATTTGTCAGCTCTCTCTAGATATTTATTTCCTTTTTTTCTCCTCTTCCTCAAATGAATACTATTGTTTTCCTTTAACTTTTGTTACTTTTTTGTTTAGGATAATAGCATTAATAGTGACACCAGAGATCGCTAGGTTCAATCTCCCATACCCATTCTTTGTTGCAGTACTTCTCATGATGTTTACTATATCAAAATTGAGTCTTTCCATATTTATATAGCGCATTTTTTATAAAACAATTAAAATCTTTTCCTCTAACATCGGCATAATGCTAGTTATTTGTCTTAAGCCCATAAAGATATTTCTTCTTTTTACATTGTAACCTTTTATGTATTTTAAGAGTCCCATCATAATCTTATTGATTTTTTTTTTTTTACAGGTTTAAGTACATTTAGTTACTTCAGTTGTTCCTTTTATTTGGCATGCTTTTTGGACTTTTTGCTTTCCTAAATTTTTTTCTATTCTTTTCAAGTTGTGATGCCAGAAGTGAACTTTCAATTTGTCAACAATGTATTACCCCCCCTTATTAAGACTGTAGGCAACTGAAACCTAAACCATTTTCATGTATTTTCTATTAAACAAAATGTTCTTCATCTTGTACTTTTTCAGGTGCAATTGTTTGTGTGTAGTTAATGTATTTTAAAAAATCTAAGTATGCTAAATTTCACCTAATTAACTTTGGCTTGTTATTCTCTTCCATAGAGGTTTAAAAATCTAATTTAGTGATCCTATATATTAGCATCAGATAAAAACAGTTTTGTTTAATCTGTAAATGAAGTATGTGTTTTGTATTAAACATTAATAATTATGTTGAGTAGCATAAGACCCAATATAATCAACTATATTGGGTCTTATGCTACTCAACCTCCTTCTGTGGACCTTATTTGCATTGTTTGCTGGTTTTCAACCAGTTGTTATTCCCCCATCTTGTCTTCCTTTACACTTGAGAATTTCATGGAAGACTTGGTCAGGTACTTTATTAAAATTGAAGTCATAAAGCATTTCTTCTATCAAAACAATGATAGAAAGCTTGCCTTGCTTTTTTTTTTTTTTTTTTTAATGCTAGGG